TGATGTTGGGGTGTGAACGTTGAAAGATACCAGTGCGCAAGTAAATGAATTTTTTTCTTTTACGCTTATTATGTATTGAATTTGATCGCAGGCCTTTGAACGAAAAGATTTTGACGACAAATTTGAGTAAGTCAAAGATGTTCACATTTGTTTCTGATATTTATAAGTGAAATGGAGTAGTCAACAGAAGTGTTCTAGCACAGTCCTTATAAATCGATCTGCTTGGCAGTCATTTTTTCGGGTGTCAGTTTTGTCACAGTTATTAGTATGTCACGCAATGCTGCTCTCAGAAAATGGCTGTGGAAGAGAGAGCTTGGATATTACATTGCCGCCGGTGGTAACAGATATTATCTTCGAGTGTTGTTGATATCTCGTACGAGTGAGGGAAACGAAAGAGTGAAAGATATCATCAACTAGAGAAGTTAAGTTCATATCCACAAGCGGGTATGTATTTTCTGTTGATTGTATAATTACTGATTACATATTCAAAGCAAAGGCAATTATAAGACACATGGTTAGAGCACAGAATGCCATTACCATGCATCTACACGTAATTTGGTTTGTCGGAAGGCCACTTCGAAAAATATAAACAAAATGTAGAAATGTGAAAAGCAAATAATTAAACGTTAAGGGAGCTCACTTAATTTGTCTTTACAGTGGTCCATCCGGTGTCACGCGGAGGCAGTACCTTGTGAATATCCTCTTAGACGTAATGGTGCAAGACACTGGCTTTACGGTAAAGTTTTCTTCATGAACGTGCACACAGGGGCGCGTAAAAGATGAAGCATGCACATGTTACTTCCGATATTTACGTTCGTCCGTCTTATCTAGCCACCTGTTTTTAATCCAGTTCTTACTTTAACACAATGACATGACAATAGTTATGAAAACAGATTTCTCAAATTTTTTGGCAAAGTATTCAAACATATATTTTAACTTTGGCTTTGTCTTCGTCTCACACGGAGGTTTATTGTCCACACAGCCAAGCCAAGTTGGATCACTGTTTACGTTTCTAGCACGACAAATGGCTAAACACGAGAACACGATACACGTAAACAAGGTGCTATTTGAACAGGTTAGAGCGCCTTAGTTTTACATTGGTGTTTTGAGTTTCTTTGGCCTCATTTTCTGTCGCTGCGTTTGTGTTAGACGTGGCAGTCTGGTTGTGGTCTCTACATCCATAGGAAGTGGTTCAAACCTAGAGCGGGTCACTGCCTTCTATTCTTAGCCAATACGCTCTACTTTCACCAGTATTGGTGAACTGTAGGGTTAACTTGACGAAATGTTGCGGGGTTAACACCTTTTATGGATTGACCTATCCAGGGTGGAGTAACAATAACTCTGGTTTATTTATGCTAACGTTACCCCTCTCTCTCTAGGATTGATCTTAACTACCATTTTTGATTTTTAAAGGTCTTGGAGTATCTTGCTAACCCTGACGATGACTCCAGACACGAAGAGCGACAACAGGTAGATTTTATGCCTTTGTTATGTTAAACGATATCCCATTTTATATCGTCGAGTGATACGGTTATTAAATGATCTAAGTGTGTAAAAGTAATAATAATAGTAATAATTATAATTTATTTCTTATAGAGCGCTATTTACAATGACAGATCAACAGCGCTTTACAATTAATGTACTAAACCCACCCATCCCATCCCAGGGGAGGACATCCATCGCACAGTATGAATAAAGGCTGATAGTTTCTAAAGAGACTGTTTGGGGCTGCGTCGGTGGGGGTAACGAAATAATTTCAATATATCAACAAAGTTGAAATGGTAAATTGGCCACCGTTACGATTATAAAAGTTGACGTTTCGAGCGTTAGCCCTTCGTCGGAGCGAATAGAGGAATTGTGGGTTGTGTATGCTTTTCAAGGCAGAAAATGGAGCTACGTGATTGGTGGGAACATGGCAGCGAGAAAAACACGAGTAAATTAGTGGGATGAAAAGCGTTCGTTGATACCTGTGGGATTTAGACTGCCGGTTTGAAAGATGAGCTTTTGTTCAAGAGTTTTACGGCTTTCCGTGCTATAGAAAGGTATAGAAAAGTAGCTATAGAAAGGTAGCATATTCTTCCCAATCATTTTAAGACCTTGAGTATTGGTCCGGCCGGGACTCGAACCCTCGACCTGCCGCACAACAGTCCAGCGCTCTATCCATTGAGCTAACCAGGAGGCGGTAACACACAAATGACCACGAATTACCTCGAAGTACGAAGTACCACGATTGACTCTGCGTTCTCAAGAGTAAAAAAGTCATGAAAATGTTTGTGTGACATCATATCGCATCGTCATTATGTCACCTCATCTAAAAATCATGATTTATTTATTTATTTTTTTTATTTATTCCATTTCACTACAATTACATGGGAAAAAACAAACGAACACACAATAATAACAAATTGGATTACATAACAAGGCAGTGGGGAAGACTAGAAGGGAACTGACGAAGCATACGTGCTAGTCAACCCATTATGAAGAAACTATACGGATATATGAAAACTTATAACGGTTGATAACGTATTTCCAGCGGCTGAATTATGTAAGGGCTCTCTTGCTTTTGATTTCCTCTAGGCCTTGTTAGAACTGTGGAATGCTGGTGGCCTGAAACAATTCGATGACGCCCGCATACTGGTTCTTGCGGAAAATGCTAAGTTGTAAGTAATGTGTTTCCTCATGAGTGGAAGGTTTTCGTCATAACACATGCATTACCTCTTTGTTGTGGGTATTTTTTTTTTTCAGCTATCGCGTTTGTGAAATGTTGTACGAGAGAAAACGCCAGTTCTCCAAGGTGTTGTCTTGCTACTTCAGGGATTCATATCGAGAGGTATATAAAAGTACTTATGACTTGTTCTACCCGTTAAATACGTAACATGGGTGATAGGAGTCCTAAACGAGTAGGGAACTGGGCAAGAATGCCTAGAATCGATGGGGCTAGACTGGGTTGAAAAGTAATTTTCATAAGCGAAACAGCATCTTAGTGTAAATTCAGGTTTATTAGATATGTGCATCATAAAAGAAAGGAGACGTTAACGGTAGGCTTTAAAAACATCGCTCAAACAAGAGAACTTTATAGCGATTTGGGTGATCGGCAATGATAGATTGCTCTCTGGATTTAGAGATTTTCAAACATGCAATGACATCTACTAGAATTTGCTTTCTCTTTCCACGTCCTAAGCTCGTTTACAGCATGATACTTGCAAGGATTGTCTTTTTCTGCTATATCCGCCACACATCGCCTTGTTGTAGGTAAACAAGTTTTAACTAGAGAATGAGAGAGTTCAAAGATGTTGAACCTTTGTCCAACAGCACCAAGTGTTCAACTACGTCCATTATGTGATGTCAGAAGACGTGTATACTGATTTGGAAAGAGAGGAACTAAAAGAAGCAACACTGAATAGTTTGCAGGTTAGTTTTGTGTGGATGTTATTTTATGACAAACAAGGTTTTTCATCAAGAAAACACCACCATGACAAATTGTGTGGAATCTTACATTTGCTTGGCCGTGGACGATAGTTTTATCCCGGCCACAACCATAAAAGGGATAACTGTATCACATGAACGTAATGTTTCGAGGCAACAGTCACTTGAATTGTTACACATTAGCACGAAACTACTACTTTGTAGTCACACTCCAGGGGTTTATCCAAAGCCCAAATAGTCAGAACTTAATTTGTACAACATAGCAAAGGTGTAATCTGTCTTCCTACGTTCAAACGGACGCGTAGTAGATGATATACAGCCCATCAAAAGGCTAGCAACGTTTTGCGTTATACTTTCAGAACTTTCTTTCGATTGACTGCGGAAAAACTGCACACATGATTGTCACTGAATTTCCGGATATCTTGACAACAGTCATCCGTCAGTTAGAGGTGAGTGCGTCGATGAATTTTGCAATTGTGATGAATTTGACGCATTTTTATGCATGTGAGTATCTGATATATTCTGTGCCCATGACTGGGTAAGAAAGAGAGTGCAACGAGAGATCTCTGCTGCATTATTGCTTTAATTTGAACTGTACATGTGTCATTACCTAGTAGGGATTGTTATCTATATATGTAATAATTTGTTTATCTGTTTATTTTCCTTGAAAGGAAAAACAGTTTGCAAAACGAGACGAAACGCTTTAACGTCTGCGTTTTACTATTTACTTATAACCCACTGCTTGTCTCTTTTTTTCGTTGAATTAAATGTCCTTCTCTCCTTTCTCTCTTTTCATAGGGACAATCGACTGTGCAGTATGAATTTTTAAAAGGCGTATTCGAGAACAAGTATGCAAACCTTTCTTTAAAATACATTATAGGAGTGAACTTTAAGAATTTATAAGTGTAACTATTTAATTGTATTTTAAGTAAATTGTTTAAAACGAGCACTTTAAATTGTTCAGTGTCCTGGTCATCCTAAGACGTGTTCATTTCCGGGAAATGAACACTGATTTGTCAGTTTAAGCTATAGAGTGCGCTTTTTCTATGTGCTCGAAAGAACTTTCACGGCGTGATGGCATGCGTTATTCTAGAATAGCCGAGTGACACATTACTGTTTTACTAATATGTTCTTGTCTCGTCTCGTGTTATGCTTTATTTTAGATCTCAGACCCTTACGCGCCCAGAAGACACACCCGATGCTGAAGTCCATGAGAAATACATCGAGTTGATGTGTAAATACCAGCCAGATCTAGTACACAGTTATTTAAGAAATACAGAAAACTACAGACTTGAGGAAACGTTGGCGGTATGTATTAAGTAATTATCAAACATGGCATTGGGAATTGTTAAGACGACCAGATATGATTTTCGCTTCTTTGAAAAATTTGGAATATTTTGAGACCACAATTCCTTTAATTTTTTTAATTTCATCACGGAAGAAGTTAAATTACTATACAGCCTCAAAATAGTGCCATTTTTCTCTCAAGAGCAGCATTTTAATGGAATTATTGAAATGCCGCGCGACCTGGCCTGCTGACGATTAGTTTTGATCAATGATGATGTAATATGCAGACTTGTAACTTTCCACAGCATTCTTCATTTTGCCATCAGCTCACACGCTTCCCTTCTCCCTCCCCCAACTCCCTGTGCTTTTGTTTAGTAAAGCTACATCTACTAAGAAAAGGAGATGTACAAACAAAACTAAACACAGGGTTCCCGCGCTCCTTGAAAGTCCTTGAATTTAATTTTTTGTTTTCAAGGACTTGAAAAACCTTGAATTAAGACCCAGGTCCTTGGATATTTCTGAAAAATCTTTGAAAATAAGTGCAGGTGAATCAAAGTCGAAGTTTTCTTTAGTTTTTGGTGTTTAAAGCGTAAACTTCTAGCACAAATCACGAAAACGAGTTTTTCTTTCAAATCCCGCGTCCAATCGTGATGATTGACAAGTGATAAAGAGCAATGTTTTTCTATTCCTTGAATTTGAGAGCCAAGGTCCTTGAAAACGACCTAGAAAGTCTTTGAAAGTCCTTGAATTGGGTTCCTAAAAAAGTGCAAGAACCTTGCAAACAGACCTACGAACAAAAATCTAAAACAAAAAATTACCTAACAAGGCCTTACTTTTGCCACGTTACAACTGAACAGCGCAAAATGAGTTTTAATGATGGTGAGTATGATAAATAAATTATTTGCTAATTGTCCGTCGTTTGTGCGTGTGTGTATTTTTTTTTTTCCATGTTGTAGATTGTTCGCCAATTCAACAACACATACGCTACATCGTATCTACTGGAGAAGGCGGGTGATATTCACGGGGCTTTCCAGCTACTTTTGGAGGTAAACGAGATTGTACTCTCCTTTGAAACGTCCCCGTTTGAATTACACACAAGCATTTGCACTTTGCGAAATAATATACAAATAACTTTTCCTTTCTAAGATCAGTACGCTACCCAAAGATGAGGTGATGAGAATACTTTAGATAATCTAACAGCTTATTGCCTAACACATCGCCAAATGTATTTGTCTTTGTGTACTTGTATCAGTTTATGTCTTGGGGCCTAACCCTTCCACGTCATCGGGAGATACAATTGCTAACCTTTTATGTTGATATAAATTAGCATTTTCGGCATTGTCAACATGGATAAAACAAGAGAATTTTCACTTAAAAGCGAGGCCTTGTACGAGGTACATGTAAAGAACAAGATATCAGTCCTTTCAGGTGTGAATTTATAAATACCTCTTTCTAACCGACTTCGAGGTCTGTTCTGTAAGTTACGGACCGAGTTTATTCCGCTTGGACTTATGGCGCGCGGGCCATAAATCCGAGCGGAAAAAAGAAATCGAGGTTCCGCAAGACCGTAACTTGCACCACGGACCAATCGTGGCGCACGTACTAACTGATACGTATGAGAATAACTGTCTTCTTTTTGCAGACTTTAAAGGTGAAAGTGAAAGTTCTTTGTGATGTTTTTGAGGAAAACGAATCTCCACCTTTAAACGGTACAGTGATATTGAGCCACTTTATTTAACAATTAGTCCACGAGCGTGCGTTGGATATGTCGTCTCATGTCCAAAAAAGCGCGAGTGGAATAACTGTTTTAATGAAAATCGCTCCAAAATATAGATTAATCTTGCCGACTTTATTTTGTAAGAAGAAACGGAATGTTACGATGTAAAAGAACTCTTTCGATTGAACTCGTCTTCATGCACGCGCATAGTGTATTGGCTCAAACCCATGATGGCAAAGCCAATGTTAAGGAGGCTCGAAAGGGTTTTTTTTTACCGCGCGGAGAATGGATTCCAAGATACACGCAAGCTAATTACTCGCGGGAGAAATAAGCGATAGTGCGCGCGATCAGATCCGCGGGCGAGTTGTAAACAAACATGGCCGCCGTGAGCGTTTCAAAATTTTGGGCACCTCTATTGTTTCCAGCGGAAGTGGTTGTTTGAGAAACAAAAATGGTAAGTTTACTTCTTGAAAGCAGGTAGGAAAATGTTTGGATGGCAGGATTCTTGCCGAAAGTGGTCAAAAAAAATTTATTTAACGAGCGAAAGGAGGATGGTGAAGTCGACACCCCATCAATAAAGTCGCGTCGAGTGCATTCGGTACTCGGTAGATCTTACTTTGTTCCGCGAAAAATTTAAGTGGATACCTCTGAGTGCCACGATTTGTTTCGCATTGAATTTGATTCCCAATAAAATGAAATGACCGAAAACTTTCCTAAACAACTCACTGGAAGATGAAAAGGAAAATGAAATCATTGTTGGATCCAGGATTGTAAACATTGACAGTTTTATTAATGGAAATGGAGAA